CCACCCTGCGAGGGTGAGGAGGGTGCCACGCGGCCCCTCTGTGGACATCTCTGGTGCTCGCCGCTGCTGGGTCGTTTCTCATCAGCTCTCCACACCATCGAATATGCTACCTGTGTACATATTTATCTTCTTTATCATCTGTCTCCTGACTTTAGTGAGAGCTCCGTGGGGCCAGGACTGTCCCCGTGAAAGGAAAGGCCTGGCACTTAGCGGGCACTCATAACTGGTGCATGACAGCCACCCTCCCAACCTCGCAGGACTACTTCAAGGGCTGAATGACACAACCAGCCAATATGCCCTTAGCATGTTTCTCCTACACCCTACCCAGGCTTCCACTCTCAGCTCAAGACACCTCCTCAGGGAAGCCCTCCAGGGCTCCAGACCCAGTCAGGTTCTTTTTTTTTTTTTTTAATGTTTTTTAATCTTTTTAAAAAATATATATTTTTATTAATTTCAGAGAGGAAGGGAGAGGGAGAGTGAGACAAAAACATCAATGATGAGAGAGAATCATGGATCGGCTGCCTCCTGCACGCCCCATACTGGGGATCGAGCCCACAACCTGGGCATGTGCCCTGACTGGGAATCGAACCATGACCTCCTGGTTCATAGGTCGACACTCAACCACTGAGCCACGCCGGCCGGGCCCCAGCCAGGTTCCTTGGTACACGCCCTGCTCCTAGCTCTTCGGCACTCACACAGCTGTACTATAACAACTGTGTGCAATTCATTGTTTCCTCTCCCCTCTGCTAGAATGTGAAGTGTTTGAGGACCCGCAGTCCTGCCTACGTCCCCATGTCTGGAACAGTGACCAGGGCAGCAAAGCACAGGTTTGTCAAGGCTCTGGCAGCTGCCTGGGGCCTATCCTGACACTTCCATACACCAACTGTGTGACCTTGAACAAACCCTCGAAGCCTCAGTTTTCTCATCTGTAAAACTGGGGTGATAGAAACAGTACTTCTTATAAAGGTGAGTTGTGAGAATTCAAGGGGGGTAACTGAAGTACCACATTTAGCATGGTTCCTAACGCCTAAATATCAATGTGATTATTATTTATGGCTAGGGCTCAATAAATGTTTGTCAACTGAATCAGCAGAGAATGAAGGGTCTCAGGGTGGGCAAGAGACACCTGGATCTGAACCTGTTAGCTCCCTGGGCATCAGAAACAAAGGGAGCACAGAGGTTTTGGACTCATGGGTGTTGGCAACGGCAAAGTCAAAATGGCTTGTATGTCACAATCATTCGTGAGGCACCTGACCAAAGTTCAGTTATTAGTAATAAGCAGAGGCAGCAGTCTGGCTTTTAAGAGCTCGACCCTGGACCTGAACTGACCCAGGTTCAAATCCTAGTTCTGCCATTTTCTACCTTTAGGACTTGGACAAAGTTTTAAAAACCTCACTGGGCCTCAGTTACAATATTGCTGGCTCCTTGTAGGTTGCCGTGGGGGTAACAGGTCAGGAATGTACTCTAGAAATGTCCTCAAAAAACTATACATGTTATAGCCCCAAAGCAACCAGAGGTTTACATAAAAATATAAGTAACAGGCACAGCTCAAGTACTGCTTATTACCTCGCCCCCTTGCTCAGTCACATTTTCATATGCTTTCCTGAGTGAGAGAAACCCCCTGAGGACTATTAGCAGGATGCCTAATCGTCTTTTTAAAGTTAGGTTCTGGCCCTAACCGGTTTGGCTCAGTGGATAGAGCGTCGGCCTGCGGACTGAAAGGTCCCAGGTTCGATTCTGGTCAAGGGCATGTACCTTGGTTGCGGGCACATCCCCAGTAGGGGGTGTGCAGGAGGCAGCTGATCGATGTTTCTCTCTCATCGATGTTTCTAACTCTCTATCCCTCTCCCTTCCTCTCTGTAAAAAATCAATAATATATATATATATATATTTAAAGAAGATTATAAAGTTAGGTTCTGACATAGGATGTAGCCCCTCTCAGCTATAAAAACCTGTGCTGATGCTGTTTTGGGGGTGGGGAGTGGGGGTATTCTATGCTAGTGAGAAGCCAGTAGCTGCCAGAAGCAGGAACAAAGTTTAGGAGCAGGCAGAGGCTATCTCGAGTTTTTCAGAGCCACTGTGGACGGTGCTGGGCCTGTCACACCCAGAAACGAAGCGTAGGAGACATCCTGAGTCCTCGCCCACATCCCACATCCAATCTTTCAACACATCCTGGTGGCTCTATATAACTTTTAAGGGGAAGCGCATTCATCGGAGGTAAGAGGGCTGGGAGTACCAGGCTGCCAACCCCGAGTGGTAGTCTGGGGGTCTAGCACCAATTGGGTGGTGCCAGGCCCAGAGGGCAAAGGGCACAGAAGTGGGGATAGGGGCTCACCCTGGATGGTCCTCTTGAAGAAGGCTTTGCAGGCCTCACAGGATGCCACACCATAGTGGTAGCCCGAGGCCACATCTCCACAGACCAGGCACAGGCGTTTAGGCAGGGAGCTGAGCACCAGCTTCCCACCACCCTGCTCACCAGGCCCAGCCCCCTCCCCATCCTCCTCTTCCTTGTGGCCTGGAAGGTGGCGAGCGGGAGCTGGGCCAGGGGCCAGGGCTACCGGGGGCTCGGTCTCAGTCTCCGAGGAACCCTTTGGGCTGTCTGGGCTGGCCGGTTCTGCCTTGATGTAGAGAGGCTCAATGCCCACCACCTGGCTGGACATGGCGCTGGTCACCTGTGGGGAGAAACCTGTCAGGTCACAGGGAGGTGCTGGGATGGGGGATGGAGAGACACCCTGCCACCCTGGTTGCCCAACCCCAGGCCTGGGGCCAGGCTTCCAGTATCAGTGAGGGGGAAGGAGGAGGTACAGAGTCCAAGGAAGGGCTGCCCATGAAAAGGCCCCCCTCCCCCTCCCCCAGTTGTTGCCATGGGAATAGAGTCTCCAGAGCCTCCAGGGCCAGTAACTGACAGCAAGTCGGTCCCATTGAGGAACCTGCAGGAGACTTAGAAACCCCCTACTCCTACCCAGGCCAGGGGGCAGGGTAATCTTGGCCCCAGACGACCTTCAACTCCATCTGGAATCCTCGACTAGAAATGGGATACCCTCTCCATTTTCTCCCGACAGGGACTCGCTCTCCTTCTCACCTGTGCTTCCCCCATTCAAGAGCGTAAACAGAGGTACACAAACCCAAGGGCAGTGGGATGTGCTCACACACGTGTGTTCACACCCTCACACACTCCCACTCACCTGGGCTCTCAGGTGTCCTGCATGCTCATTCACACAGGGCCTTTCCCAAGCCCCGTTCTCATTCATGCTCACTCACTCCTCCCAAGTGCATACCTCATCAACAAAACCGCACTCAAGACTCATAATCACACACTCACACGCTCCCCCTGCCCCCACGCGAACAGGCACAGACCCTCGTGGAAACACATTCAGATCTTTCACACCTGACACACTGCCCCCTCCGGTCCCAGCAAGCCCACTCCAAGGCACACCAACCGGCGCGGCTCCACCTCCTTGCACATCCCCCCCCACCCCACCCGCCAGCACGTTCACTCGGCTGCCGCAGAGTCCTCCACCTCGGGGCGCCCCGCCCCCCCAACCCGTGCACACCTACGGGAAGTTGCCTAAAGTTGCAGCGTTCTCCTCCCCCTCCGCCCGCGGGGGACCTCTATCAGGTTATCAGGAAGTGAATGGGGAGTGCCAAGGAGGAGGAAGTTCTACCCTGCCGGTGCGGTGACCTTTGACCCAGAGAGGAGGGTGGCCCAAGGCCCCTACGAGCGCCCCCACGTGGTCTTCAAAGCCCCTTCCCCGACAGGGAACCCTCCCCATCTTCCACCCCGGCCCGCCCCTGGGACTTAGCAAGCTCCAGGGCCGGACTGAACCCTGCCCTAGGACTGGATCCGAGGTCCAAGCCCGACCCTGGCTTAGGACCCGCAGCCGGAGCCAACGCCGGCCCCTGCCCCAGGCCGGCACACTAAGACCTGGACGGCAGATCCCGCCAGGACCCTGACCTCGTCTGCTTCTCCACCGGGTCCCGATCGAGACCCGGGCCGGTCCCGGAGCTGGACCCCGCCTGGAGCCCGCCCCCCGCCCGCCTCCCTGCTCGCACATGGCCCCCGCCCCCTCCCGCCCACCTCCCCAGCCGCGGTCCCCTCCGCCCCCGGACCTGGGGCTCCGGCTGGGCGGGCGGGCAGGCATGGGGGCCGAGCAGCCCGGAGCGCCGGGGTAAGCCGGGGGCCGCTGGCGGCCCCTCCTCCGCCGCCTCCTCGGACCGCGCCGCCCCGCCGCGCCGCGTCCCCTCACTCGGCGGCGCCGCCGGCGGCTTGTAGGACACAAAAGGACATCGCGGCCGCTTCCTACTCCGCTTCCTCCAGCTGACAGCGGGGGCGGGGCCGGCCGTGCGCATGCAAAGCAGGGGGCGGGGCCTGGCGCCCTATGCTAATCAGACAAGTGGAGAAGGCAGCGCCTCGGTGCCGGGACGAGTCGGGAAGAGCCGGCGAAGCCGGCGGGCGGGCTTTCGCGAGGTCCCGCCCCGTCGCCGCCAGCCACGGCGGCGCACTCGCGCACGGGCCTCCGAGGGGGCGTGACCAGGGGAGACGCGAAGTGGCTCGGGTGGGGGTGGGGCCAAGAACGCTTTTACGAAACGGAGGAGGCGGGGCGCGCTGTGCGCGAGAGGAGTGGGCGAAGGCGCCCCGAGAGACCACGTACACATGTAAATGAGAGGCCTGACTAGCGGAGAAGCGAATCTGCATATGCATGAGGGGCGGGGCCTAGCATGGAAGGCAAGTGCTGCCCACTTTCCCTTTTTCCCTTTCCCCCCCAACCCAGATAACACCGTCGGGGCCCTTGGACCGCAGGCCCAACATCCCCTCAAACCTGCGGAATCCGGGATGGGAGCAGCAGACCGACCACATGCACGAAGTCCTGGATCTCGAGTCCCGGGAAGGCGGAGCTGATATGGCCCCAACAGAGAACGCTCAAGGTCACTGCGGTGACCGAGTGAAGGTCATGGGGAAAGGCGGGGCCACGTGCGTCCGCCTCACGCAGACAGCCACGCACTGACTCACAGACCTTGCACAGACTTTTATTTCTCTAGGGTTCAAATTCCACATGGATAGGGTCGGGTTTGGGTCTCCGCGCAGGACCGGGGCCGGGGCCGGAGGTGGGCAGTCACTCGAGCCTGAGGCGGTGCTCTCAGGGCTCCGGGACGAGTTGCCTCCTGCTCCGCTTCTGGATAGCCTCGATTTTTCGCTGCAGCTGATTGGTCAGAATGTGATCCTTGCCGATGGCCGCGCGGTAGCCTGGAGGAGAGAGCTCCGCTCAGGGCAGTTAGAGGGGCGTTACCTCCCCCGGCAGCAGGTGCCACCTGTGTGGCTGGAGGCAGGACGGGTGACTTGGGTTGACAGGAGCTCTCAGGGCTCCGGGCTGTGTCAGTTTGGGGAACTTTGGATCTCCGAGGCGCTGGGCCCTGGCGGTTTTGTTGCCAGTCCTGTGCTCCAAATAGGTGGGGGATGCGGAGCAGGACTGGATATGGACGTGGAGGATGAATGAGAGCAAGAGTAAAGAAAATGTTGCCGGCCTGATCTTGGACAGCGGCAGCTTTTTGGACACCTTCTGGAGCACTCACCGTTAGCCATTAGCCAGTCCCTACCCCTCATTCCATAAACGGGGCAAACCAGGGGAGGTTTACCCAAACCATCTACTGTCCAAAGGCTCTTGACATCAATCAGGGAAGGGGCCGAGGCCGCACAGAGACTCATCCCCCCTGGGCAGATGGAGAAATCGCCTTAGGAAAGCCGTCAGCTAGAGGGGGGCAGCACTTAAACTGGAGCCCAGCCCCTCACATTGGCCCCATGGTTTCCCCACTGGTCTCCCTTGTCCTGTCCCCCAACTTTTTGCTTTCTGTGGGGCTCTTATAATATTTGTGAGTGGTCAGAGAATCTGACAAGGCAGTCACATCCTGAAATTCCACTGCCAGGGGCTCAAACCCTGCAAAATCCCCTATGGGCTCCTGGGAGCTGGGGGAGGGACTCACCCTGGAGGGCTTTGGTGAGGATTTCCAGAGCTTCATTCTCCATGAGATCCATCAGGGGCAGTGGCAGCTGAAGAGGCAGCAAGAGGCTTGATGTCCAAGGGACCCCAGCTGCCCACAGCTGAAATGCCCCACCTGCTGCCTGCAGCCCAAGATGCCCAACCAAGCTGCCTGCCCCTCCACCCTACAGACCACCCACCCCCTTCATCCGTAAACCCCAAGTTGCCCATTCCCCATCCCACTGAAATCCCCAGTCTCCCTGGCGCCTCTAACCCTGTCCTGCTGTTCCTCCCAGTAGGCTCGGTGGTGCGTGTGCTTCATGATATTGAGTGATGACACCGAGGAATCCAATTCTGGGACAAGAGAAAAGAGACATCAGCCATCTGCAGGCTGCTGGGTCTTTCTAGAACAGAGGAGCTGTGTGGGCTGGCCTCTGGCAGGGACAGTGGCCTTCAGAGAGCAGCTCCAGGTGCCACCGTAGCAGGAAACGGCATGGGACAGTGGTTTCCAGACCTTGGCTTTATTATCTCACCCACCAAGGTTCTAGTTCTGACTGCCCCACTGTGTGACACTTAGAGCCAGTGACTGAAACTTTCTGACCTTCAGGTTCTTCATCTGTAAAATGGGGTAATAAGAATAACCCCTGGCCCTGGCCGGGTAGCTCAGTTGGTTAGAGCATCATTCCAATACACCAAGATTGTGGGTTCAATCCCTGGTGAGGGTACATACAAGAATCAACCAATGAAACAAGTCAGTATTTCTCTCTTTCTCTCGCTCTCTTTTTCTGTCTCTCTCAAATCAATAATATTTTTCAAATGAATAATTAAAAAAAAAAAAAGAATAGCCTGGTCATTGTGGCTCAGTGGTTGAGTGTCGACCCATGAACCAGCAGCACATGCCCGGGTTGTGGGCTCGATCCTCAGGAGGGGGCATGCAGGAAGCAGCCAATCATCATTGATGTTTCCATCCCACTTTCCCTCTCCCTCCTTCTCTCTGAAATCAATAAAAACATATTTAAAAAGGAAGGAAAATAAAAAGAATAACCCCTTATGGAGGTGATGAAATTTAAAGCTGATCGATCACACTGGCACGAGGGAAGCCCAATGCCTGCACACCACAAGAGCTCAATCAGCGGCAGTCATTATATTGCTATCAGTTCCAATTATCTGATGAAGCGCTGGGGGGAGGGGGGGGGGAGAAGAGAGAGAAAAATCCCCAAAAGTGACCAGCATGAAGTAGGTACTTAAAAATCATCACCAATGACTACATAAATGACAGGCACCTCCTCAACCCTCGAAAACCCACCGACAAGAAATTAACTTCTTCCTCTCAACTCTCCTGGTGATTACATTAAAAGCACGGTCCTACCGAAACCGGTTTGGCTCAGTGGATAGAGCATCGGCCTGCGGACTGAAAGGTCCCAGGTTCGATTCCGGTCAAGGGCATGTACCTGGGTTGCGGGCACATCCCCAGTAGGAGGTGTGCAGGAGGCAGCTGATCAATGTTTCTCTCTCATCGATGTTTCTGACTCTCTATCTCTCTCCCTTCCTCTCTGTAAAAAATCAATAAAATATATTTTAAAAAATAAAATAAAATAAAAGCACAGTCCTAAGGACACACGGCCTTTGAGCATTTGCCTGCGTGCCTCTCTGGGACCTGGTGTGGCCTGGCCACAGGATCGTGTCTGGTGCCTTCCCAGTAGGGGGCGCTCCAAGAATGTCTGGTTTATTAAGCGAGAAAGATTAGCCCAGGCGCCCCACTCAGGGAACCCTAGAAACTTGGGTCCTACAGCTTCCCCGCATTTTACACCAACAGACATTGGGGTCCTGGCCAGCCCCCCGCCCTGTGGGCGCCCACAGCGTGATGAAGCCACACTGACCCCCGGAATCCTGGACCCCTTCTACATGGTTTCTCTGGAAGCTGTTGGGGCTCTGCTCCAAGGTGGGGCCATTGAGTTCCCCCTGCGGGATGCTGCCTTTATTTCTGTCATCCCATTTTCCCGAGGCTCTCCCAGGGTCGGTCTTCCGTCTGTACCACTGGCCAGGCTTGTTCCTGGAGCTGCTGTCCTCCTGGTCAGAGTCCTCATAGACGTTTGTCAGCCCATGCAGCTTGGGCTGCGACAGCGTGGCCTTGGTCCACAGATTCCGGATGTCACTCTTCGAGCTTAACTTGACTGAGTCATTCTTGGCCAATGCCTGTGGACCACATACAACAAGGAAAGCCCAGCACACCTGTCAGAATGGCTATCATCAAGAAATCAACAAACAATGAGTGTTGGCGTGTTGGTGAGGATGTGGAGAAGAGGGAACCCTCGTGCACTGTTGGGGGGAATGCAGATTGGTGCAGCCACTGTGTAAAACATTATGGAATTACCTCCGAAAATTAGAAATGAAACTACCTTATGACCCAGCAATTCCACTTCTTGGAATATATCCAAATAAACCCAAAACACTACTTTGAAAGAATATATGCACCCCTATGTTCATTGCAGCGTTATTTACAATAGCCAAGGTTTGGAAGCAGCACGTATGAGGGGATAAAAAAGCTGTGGTACATGTACGCAATGGAATACTACTTGGCCGTTAAAAAGGGGGAGGGAATCTTACCATTAGCCACAGCATGGATCAACCTGGAGAGCATTATGCTAAGTGAAATAAGCCAGTCAGAGAAAGACAAACACCATATGATTTCATTCATATGTGGAATCTAATAAACAAAATAAACTAATAAACAAAATACAGATAGATTCATAGATAGAGAACAGACTGACAGCTGGGGCCGGGGCAGGGGAGCTCAGAGCTGGGTGAAAAAGGTGAAGGATTAAGCAAAAGCAACAACAACAAAACTCATAGACACCTACAACAGTCTGGTGATTACCAGCAGGAAAGGGGGCTGGGGCAGTAGGAGAGGGTATAGGAGGGACAAATGGTGATGGAAGGAGACTTAATACAAGTATACAGGTTTCAGGCGTACAGATCCTGTATTATAGAATTGTACACCTGAAACCTATATACTTTTATTAACCAATATCACCCCAATAAAATAAAAATAAATAAATAAATAAATAAATAAAAACAAGGAAAGCCCAGGGTCCCGGGGAATTGGGGAGGGAGGATGGGGAGGGAGGAAAGCAGGCTGGGGCAGCCACGTGGGGACTGTTGGGAGCTGGGGGGTGGGGGGCGTGAGAGGACAGCCAGGGCCCACGTTGAATGAGTCTGGGGGCTGACAGGATGAGGGGCCCAGGAAGAGTTCTTACTTTGAAAGGCTTTTCCTCCATGGTTCTGCCCCAACGGACCCAGTCGCCACAGGCCTCGCGGATGGCGGGGAGGGGGGAGGGGGGAGAGTCGCGCTCCGGGAAGGGGGAGGGGCGGGGTCGCGTTCTGGAATGGCGACGAGGGTCTCGTGCAGGAAGTGGTCAAGCTGCAGCCCTCCACACTTGACACAATTATTTCTCCCCCCACCCACCCCCGCACCCCTAAGGCTGTGCTGGTGTTGGAGACGCACAGCCCATCTGGCAGGTTCCGCCGCGCGCCCCTGCTTGCTGGCCTCCACGCAGCGACGCGGGCCGATCGCGGCCGAGGGTGCGGTGCCCTGCCCGACCCGACGTGGGTGCCGAGAGTCACGGAAGCCTGACTCGCCAGGGAGCGCCCCGACGCCAGCACTCGCGCCCCCACTCGCGCCCTGGGAGCGCGCACGCCCGCAGCGGCGGACTTTTTCCTTTATTGATGCGGGCTCCGAGGCTCAGCTGGGAGGCGTGGGGGACGGTCCGGCCCGGACAGGAGACGGGGACCCTTGGGGGCTGGAAATGAACGGAGGGAGGAGGGGCCAGGAGCCGGGGTGCCAGGCACGCCACCTGGCCGGTCGCACAGGCACTTGGGTCAACCAGGCAACGCATGCAGGGGACGAGCCAGAACGCAGCCTCTGCGGGCCGGCGCTCCTGCCCTACACGGGCACGTCTTTGTCCCGGAGGCGCCCGGGGCCGCGGGGCCGCGAGGGCTTCCTGGCGGGGTGCTGGGCGCGGCGGCGACCCCGGGGCGCGCGGGGCACCACGCAGCCGCGCTCGCTCTGCGTGTCCGAGGACTCGTCGATGAAGGCCAGGTTCTCGCTGGGGTAATCCAGCGCTGAGGCCGAGGGCGCGGAGGCCGTGGGCGGGGAGGATGGGGAGGGCGGGGAGGTCTTCTCCCGGGGCGCAGTGCACGGCGGCGGAGGCGAGAGCGGCCGCTCCTTCTCCGGCGGCGGCGGCACCACGGACCCGCCTCGCTGGGTCACCCGCGCCGTCACTGTGCCGGTCCAGCTGGCGGCCTGTGCCGTGAAGCCGCCCATCTGCGGGGCAGGGGGAGCAGTCCTCAGCCCGGGGTCCTCCACCCCCCAGCTCCCCGGAGCCCGCCCTTCACCAACCAGGCGTCGCTCCTCTCTTCCCCGGGCCCTCCTGCCTCAGCCCGCCTCCCCCGCCCCCCTCGCCCGCTGCACCATTTCCCCTCCTTCATCGCCGAAGCGCCCCCTTATCCGGGGTTCTTCTAGAAACCCCCCGGTTTATCCCAGCTCTCCCTCCTGGGCCCCCAGAGACCTTCGAGCACCCCTGCCGGCATCGACGAGTGGGGTGACAAAACACAGGTCGTATTAAGTCCGAATTCCAGACAACAAATGAAATTGTAGTGTAAGTATGTCCCGTGCGCTATGTGAGACATACTTACACTAAAATGTTATTTGCTACTTATCTGAATGCACCTTTAACTGGGCTGCCTGCATTGTATTTTGGTAAATCTGGCAGCCCTACCCACAAGAACAGAGGTGGAGTCGCCTGCACCCCTGTCCCCGGCTGGTGCATATGGGGGCGCACTCAGTCCCTGCCTGGAGGAGCCCACACTCTGGAAGGGAGGCAGGGGGTGCCAAACCACTGCTCCGGTGCAGCGCGGACGTCAGGGCGCAGGCGCGGCCACCCGGGGCGCCTACCTCTGCGCGCGTGCGGCGGAACACTACCCGCAGCCAGTTCCCGATGGTGGTGAGCACCGAGGCGAAGTAGGCCAGGCCGAGCAGGATCCAGAACCACACCAGCGGCTGATAGGCTGCGTGGGTCTGGTTGGGGTTGGCGCCTGGGATACCACGGGGTGAGCAGAAAGAAGGTGTTGTGGGGCCAGCTTTGAGCCGGGAAGCCACTGCGTCACTGCCCCTCTCCCCAGCTCAGTGAGGGGATCCGCTCTCCCAGGACAGCGGGTTTGTGCATGTGTGAATGCATGCAACCTGAGCGTGCAGGACCTGCAGGTGTGTAAGAGAAGAGCATGTGAGTGGGAGTGCTCACGTGCAAGAGTGGGAGCATGTGTGAGGGTGCACCTTCACATACGTGTGAACATGCATGGCGGCGCAGGCATGCAAGACTGTAAGTGTGCACGAGGTGTTGCATCGGTGCAGCAATGTGAGGGTGCATTCCCAGCGCGGATAGAGGGGGCGGGGTCATCCCATTTGAGAGCACAAACGCCACATGTGGAATTTGGAGGGAGAAGTAAGAGGGCAGAGCCCCTGGGGAGGAATAACATGGGCGGGAAAGTACAGCACAAGAAAGGTGGCCTCACCGGCCACATAGTCCCCGAACCCCACCGTGGTGAGCGTCACCACCACGAAGTAGATGGCCTCGAGCTTGCTCCAGCCCTCCATGTAGCAGAACACGAACATGGGGGTGACGACAAAGAGCAGGCAGCCGATCACCAGGAAGAGCAACGCCGATAAGATTCGCACCAGCTCCTTGGGCACGTGCCACTTCTGCAGGGAGGGCAATAGGTAGGACCCACGAGTGGCCCAAACCTCCACTCTCACACCCCACACCCCTTCCTCCGGGAGCCTGTGGGAGGCTCCTGCCATCTCGGTAGAAAAGGTATCCTGAGCCCAACACAAACGGGTGGAGCAGCTCACCAGGAAGATGGCTTCAATGTGGCCAATGCCGTGGCGCAGGGGGCAGCCCAGCCGGTCCCCGACCCCTGCCAGCAGGATCCCGAACAGTGGGATCCCCACCAGAGCATAGATGATGGAGAAGATGCGACCGGCATCTGAGCGCAGGGCGGCATTGCCATAGCCTGGGCAGAGGGGCCGAGCAGGAGATCTAGGGGCTGCCTGGCACCTCCCTATCCCCCCTGCACCTTCCCCCTAGAGAAAGCCCAGCCACTCCTTGCCCCCTCCACATGCCCAGTCCCCCCCCCACCGATGGTGGTGATGATGGTGCCTGAGAAAAAGAAGGCGCCGCTCAGGTCCCAGGCTGAGTAGTTGCTGTGACTGGTTGCGTTGATGTCAGGGTTTGCACCCCCTCCCAGGGCATCAGCCACCTCCTGCAGGACAAGGCACAGAAGGAGGAGCCTTAGTCCTTCCCTCCTGTCCTAGCCACCCCCTGGCCCTCCAGCCTCTGCCCCTCCCAGGTCTCCCTTCCCCTCTGGCCTTCCCAAAGGCAGTCCCTTTGAACACATATTGCAGTTGGGGTGACCCAACGTTGTCTGACCTCCACATTGTTTGAGAAACATTTATCTGCCCCCTAACTTCACACAACAGATTTCCCATTTTACAGTGGTCAAGAGCACAGGCTCTGGGACCAGACCGTCTGGTTTCAAATCTTGGTGCTACGTGAACACGGCTAAGTCTCCGTGCCTTTGTTTCTACATCTACCCGGGGATGATGCTAACGGCACCTACCACATCAAGTCCTTGTGAAGAGTTAGAGCACTCACAGCAAAGCAAGCGCTGTGTGTGCCCACGCAGTGACCGTGCCTCGACTTCCAGCTTCCCCAGACCCCACCACGCCCACTCCCCTCGGAAGCTGCGTCTGAGTCCCTTTCCTGAGAAACTGTGAGGAAAGTTGGAGACCCTCCCTCCAGGCAGGTTCATATACCAGCAACATTTTCACCCCATTTTGTAGACCCATTTGTAGACTGTGGACACACGAACCCCTGCGCTACATAGTACAGTGATGCGAACAATTTCTATATGTGACACGGCACAGAGTTAAGTTAGGATTTTCAAAATGCTGACACGCCGAGCTCAACAGGTTCGCCATCACTGACATAGTAGGTGCTCAGCAAACACAATTAAATTAATGCAATGGCCCTGCGTCCGTCCCTGTTGCCAGGCAGGGCAGGGTCTGTGTTTTGAGAGTGCCCGCCCTATCAGACAGAGGTCGGAGCACAATGAGGGGGGGTGCGATGGGGCCCTTCCCCAAGGCGCGCAGAGTGGGATCACATACCGCATCTCTCTCCTCCTTAGCAAGACGCTTTCCAGTTAACTGTCCTGAACCGGGGCCCCACATCCTCCACAGCTCCCTGCCGTCCGCAGCCCAGAGTCCCGCATCCCAGCCCAGCTTTGTGCCGCTTTGCAATCTGGCTCCCACCACCCTTCCCAGTCTCCTCTCCGGGGGCTCCCATTTGGGAACCCAAGTTAAAGTGACCTTAACCCCAAATTTCTGAGATGACCTCATTTCCTGTCATAATAATTTTTTTTAAAAATTGAAAAAAGTGAAAGATATTTCACAAGAAGTGAAATATATGATTTAAAGTGATTTAATATTTATTTTGCAACACTTTTCTGGTAAATTCACTACTTAAGGGGGAAAAAACCCTTTGTCATCCTGTGTGTTCTAATTTTTGTTTCCAATGACTAGGCATCTGCTAAATCTGAGTTCTATAGCCATTTATTCATTTCTTCCTTCATCCCAGCTTCCACGCCTTTGCCCGTGCTGGTCCTCTGCCTGTAGTCCCTTGGAACCCAACCACAGATCTCTACATTCCACCCATCTCGCCCGCCTCATCTCAGTTACCAGCTCTTCCCAGAGGCCCCCAGCACCTAGCCCAGGGCCCAGCCTGCAACAGGCGGTTAACAAAGAAGGAAGTGAGGAAGGTGCCTTTCCCACTGAACTCTATAGTGATCTGTCCATGGAGCTGTCCCCTTGCCCAGATGTGACATCCCCTAGGACACAGCTTGCACCTGTCCCGCCCCAACGTCCATCTCCCTGCTCACTATGGTGTCTAGCACAGCGCCTAGTTCACAGCAGGGCATGATTGCTGCATGGCTAATTGTGGAAAAGAAATAGAGCAGCTGCTGCCCATCCTTCTAGCTTCTGCCCTTCCTTCACTTCTTTTTTATTCAGGAAAAAAAGTAACTCCATTGTGAAGATAAAATAGGTCAGATTCCCTCCCTCCCTCTGCCCTGTGGTCTGGTCAGACACTCTCCGCCTGCCCAGGCCTCTCTGAGCCTCTCTCTCTCTCTCTCTCTCTCTCTCTCTCTCTCTCTCTCTCTCTCAGTATTCTAGATGCATCAGAGACAAGGTCAGGCTGCCTGGGCCTGCCCCACCCTCATCTCTGCTCTGGTCCTGCCACAGTGGGAATCCGCAGGAGCACAGAGGCCTCCAGGCTGATGGCTCCTCCCTCCCAAAGAACAGACAGGGAAAGAGGAGTAATCTCTACTAAAGTAATAAACACTCATTTATCGAAGTTAAATCTTAGATTTTTAATAAGATAGTGACTCAGAAATCAGAGGAAGCCATAGAGGTGGCCTGACAGTCCCCCAGAAGATAAGCCCGCACTTTAGTCCCTGGCTGCCTCCCCTCCAACCTCTACAGCAGTGGTTCTCAACCTTCCTCATGCCTCGACCCTTTCATACAGTTCCTCATGTTGTGGTGACCCCCCAACCATAAAGTTATTTTCGTTGCTACTTCGTAACTGTAATTTTGCTACTGTTATGAATCGTCATGTAAATATCTGATATGCAGGATGTATGTTCATTGTTACAAATTGAACATAATTAAAGCGTAGTGATTAATCACAAAACAATATGTAATTATATATGTGTTTTCCGATGGTCTTAGGCGACCCCTGTGAAAGGGTCGTTCGACCCCCAAAGGGGTTGAGACTCACAGGGTGAGAACCGCTGCTCTCCAGCATAAGCACGTGTCCTGGGAAAAGGGGTGTTAACCGCATTTACAATGCACGCACAGGGGGAGGCGAGCCTGGAAGCCTCCAAAACCACCTGCCTGTGCTTGTAGGTGCGCTTCCCTGGGGGAGGGTGCTCGCAGTGTTCCTGGGCTTCTCTAAGGTGTATGTGGCTCCAAGGAAGTATAGGAGCCAGTGCGGGGCTGGCCAGATTTAGCAAATACAAATACTGCCAGGGACAGAGTCATATTTACAAACTACCCCTTGTTTAGCTGGAATTCACATTTACCTGGTGCCCTGAATTGTATCTGGTAACCCTAAACCAGTGAGTGAGACCTGTGACAATGTAGCCAATCTCATTGCTACAGCCATTTGCCCCTTCCTTCCTTCCTTCCTTCCTTCCTTCCTTCCTTCCTTCCTTCCTTCCGCCCCTCCACCGTCCAGGGCACAGTCCAACGCCAGGCACAGCGAGGCGAGCACGTGCCCCACACACATCACATTGAAAACAGAGACCTGCTCCCTGCCTGCACCCACCCCTCTGGGGGCCCAGTCTGGAAGCAGCACCCCAGCACACGGCCCCACGGGCATGCAGCTAGTGCCAGGGGGTGACGGGTGACGGCTGAAGGGGTTCTCACCACCCACGCACCTTGATGAGGAGCCCCAGGTCCCCGTCCGCTCACACATGGGTGGGGTCCGCAGGAACTTCTCTCGGAACCTCCCCCAGCTCCTTTTGGGCCTGCTTGCTCCAGGGGCTCCTCCAGGGCCGGTAGGCCAGGGCCCCCATCACCAGGTAGAGCAGGACCAGCGCCAGCAGAGCCAGGAGTGTGGTGCTGCGCATGGCGTGCCCAGGGGCCCGGCCAGGTCCACGGCCCGAGTGGGGAGGCCGGGCAGGCGGCTTCGGGAGGGCTGTGGTCACTGCGGGCAGAACCAGGGATCTCGGATTCAATAACCTGGCAATGAACAGCCCTCCTCCAGCCCCTACACACCCA